CTGGATTCCCAATAATGATACAGGAACACTGACTGGTGGATGGAGCTGGACAGAAAAACTGTCAGCTTTATGAAACATAACACACACACACACAACCAACCAGAGAAGTGATGGGTTCTTTTTTTTTTTTTTTTGCCTATTTGTTAAGAATCAAACTTTTTGTCTAACTTACAATAAGGAAAACTAAGAAAAATTTCACTTATCAGTGTTGATTAGTTCAATGTAACCTTGTTGTCTACGTAACTTCACATTTGATTTTACAACATATAACCATGCATCTGTTCTGGTAAAATGCTGTCTTCACACATTTTTCAGTTTTAAATATAATTCTTTAAACTTGACTAACTGTAATTACACAAATAACAGGATAATTACATAAAGATCAGAAACTGGCTCATCCTAAACTCACAAACTTTACTCCAGCATTTCTGTTTATCAGAAAGTATCCTGAAAACCAAGCTATGTTCCTGCTTCGGTGCCCCCAGATGGGACTATCTGATCCCTGTAATCCCACAGATATGTCTTCTCTATTCATCCCTGCCTGTAAACTACAATTAAATATTGAAAAAAATATTCAGTATTTAGTGTATAACCTGTTAATCTTATGTATCACACTTTACCATAAGGAAGAGCCCAGTTCTTATCAGGGGCTCACTCTGGGACCTGAATTCTTCCCACCACATCACTTTTTCTCAGGGGACCACAAAAGGGCTTTAGCAACTGCTGATATCAGATGCTCGTCATACCAGGGCCATTCCTTTTTTCTAATGAGTTCTCTTTCCCAGGTATCTTGAAGGCAATGTGGGACCTGTTCATTGGCAATCCTTGCTCCAGTTTGGTGACCCGGCTACACAGGTGACCTGTTTGCATTTCAGACAACAGAATAAGCAGATTCTGGGGCCTTCCAAAACTACAGACACCCTGCAATTACAGGAAACTTCACCTGACTTTGTTTCTGCCTTTCAAGTGTCACAATGTTAAAATCTAGGTGTACAAATGTTAATGTTAAATCAATAATGCAAATATGAAGACAGAATGAAAAATGAAGCCACAAGCCCTCAGAATGACATACACCAAATGAAAATATCTTATTTATACAGCTGAATAAATGTAAATTGACATCTTAACAGTACAAAATTATCAGCGTGCCCTGCTTTGAAGAGCTTACAATCTAATTGAATGCAAGACACAAAACTAGTGTAACTTGATGTATAGTTGCAAGAGTAAAAACCAGGAGTTGCACACTTAGTACAGCAGCTGTGTAATTTTTTTTTCCTTTAAAAAAACACTCGGCATCAAAATTAACATAAATGTGAAAATTAGAGTGAGACAGAAAACTAAGAAAAAGATGCCTGTTCAGGAATAAATAACTTACAAACTCATACAAAAGAATCATTATATTACATGAAAGAAAACAATTCAGTAACACAAATGCCTTTCTAGTGATGCAAAAAAATTAAATGGAATGAGATCAAATTACCTTTATTTATTAGCAAAATAGGCATTATGGTCTTACATTTTCTCACATTCATGTTGGTATTTTTAATTTAAGAACCTTTGTATTATACTAGAATCTCCAAGTCAATAAAAAAACCCAACGTGTGCCTTCAGGCAACAACATAAAATAAATTTTACATTTTGGACATTAAACAACTGGGTTTGTAGATTTGCAAACCTTGGGCTGGGGCTGTTTGGTTGGGGTTATTTTTTGTTAAAAGCACAGCTTAGCAGACATCCATCTGCAAGGCAGTGTTAACATAGTGCTCAACACCTAGAACTGAACCAGAAGGTGCCTGGAATTTTTCCACTACAGCATAATGTGAGATATGCCCATACAGTCAGGGGAGAGAAGAAATAAGAAAATATTGGTTTCTGCTTATGAAAATGTAAATTGTACAGATTCCCTCTTTCCAGGAAACTCTACATGATTCAATTCCCTGATAAACACATTTTGAAGGAAGTGTTAACCTCTTCAGCCCAAAAGTGAAGACAGACTTAGGGACAGTTGCACTGACTCATTCTGGCAAAGTGTATACTGCCACCAAAAACTCTTCTGGACCACAACCAATAAAGAGCAAATGTTTTCTTCACATATTTTGTATGTTGATTACTACTGTCATCACCCATCAGGTCAGGGCAGCTTTGCTGACTCTTTCTCGAATGAATATGGCAGGAGAAAACATGACCTTTATTTCTATTTTTACAAAGCTGTTGTTTGGCACCATTTAATTTGCAGTAAATAAAAGAAGATACCACAGTGAAACAGACTTTAAATACTTCTAAGAAGCAGGAACCTGGTATGACCTGACCAAAATAAGCATATCTGAGTAAGGCAGATTTTCTCATTTTGCTGAAGCAGGGACTGTAAAATCATCTTTTATCACATTTGGCCACTAGTTACAAATTCAGCTTTTTCTCCATGGTTACCCTCTGACATCTAGCTTGGCCATCTGGAACAAATTCAGAAGGAAAGAAGAGAGGATGAGAAGGAAGAAGATTATGCTTATAATGCAAGACGCCATTGCTTCTACTGAGTGCAATATACACTAAAAAGGAATGGAGGAGAGGATGCACAGCTGCCTCTTGTGCCTATATCAACACTGTGGTTGCTTCCAATTCCAGTGACTAACAGTACAATAATTTATAACACTTTTTTCCCCACTAAAATAATGACTAGTGTTAATTTATAACACTCACAGAACACACAGTGTCAGCTCTCATAAATATCTCAGATAAGGAGATGTTTTTGCCACTAAAATTTATGTGAGAGAATGAGACATCATCAAACTGAGGTAAGTGAGTTATAGCATGGTTACCCTGTGTTTTGTCTATGGGGAGAGAGAAAATGACAATTGTCCAGAAGGCAGTGCAGATCTTAGGTGTGTTAAAATGCCCTTTGGAGGTGGATCTCTCTCTGCTGACCAAAGCAACCTTCCAGGACAAAAAGCTGGGCACCCTACCTAAGTGAGGCAACTAAAACAGGATGGATCTACTTTAAACATCTAAGAAGTACCAGAATAACAACAGAGCTGAAAAAGAGTATAAAGTTCACTACTCCTAGTCTAGAGCCCACTTAGCTTTGCAGTGTGCATGCATATAACAAAGGCTTGTTCTGTATAATGCCTGCTCCTATAGTCCTTTTGTGGGCAAAATACTTCACTGTTTCTCACAGCGGAAACAATGTCTGGCTGGAAAAAGCTCAGTGCCATTAAAAACAGTGACATCTTTAAATCAAAGCTTTGTGGTGAAAATTGGCATGGTTTAGATAGCAATTTTCTGACACTTGTTTGTTTAACTCTTGGAAATCTAAAATTGTGCTTTCCACAGTCTGTAAACATAACTAAAATTTGCAGTGTTCCATTCAATTACCTGTAAAAACTGAGAGGTAGTTGAACAAAACTTGGAGTGAAGGAGGTGGTCTTTTAGCCATGTACTTATTTGAGAATTCTTATTCAGCAACTGAAAGGACAAAAATATTGTAATACCAATTACCTGTTACAAGTAAAAGAGAAAGAAAATTTCCTGCATATGTTGGATTTGCTGCTGTAAGATGTAAGAAGACTGAAACCACATTCAAGATTTTTGAGCACTAAAAGTTATGATCCTAAATTTAAATTTTGTTGGCTAAAAAGAAGCTGCCAGTTTGAAAGAGAATTAGGGCATGAATGGGAACTAGCTTTGTCTGGTCCTTTATGAACTTTGCTTAAAAAGTTCCTGCTGAGTTGCTTTTAGACCCATTCCTTTCAACAGACCAGCCACAAAGTCAGCATTACCACTACAAAATCCAGCATTTCATAGAGCACATCTGTCAGATTCTTCTAAATGGCCCAGAAGTTGTCCACATGGGATCAGACTGACACGTTTCAATCCCCGACATTGAAATACTTGATAAAATATGTCCTGGAAGGCATTTTTTTAATATAAAAGGAATGATGCAAAAAGTTTTTCCATTACAGAATCAGCACATCTTTATAAACTGGCTACAAGGTGGGGTGAGCCAAGATGATATTAACAGCAGCCCACAGGTTTCATCTGACTAAAGGTACAATCCCTCTCCCTTTGAGGACGAGGATAGCACAAAACCCAACACTCATATCTCTGACTGCCTAGACACAGCTAGATGTGCAAGGAGGATGATAGGGTTAGTCTAAAAGCACATGTGCAGCCAGGCACCCAGATGTGGGGGTTCCTGCCATCTCTGTGTGAATCACAAGCAGGGTTCCAAAACTGGAATCTGAGGAGCATGGATTTAATTAGTTCTTTCCATCACTGTGAAAGACATGAATGAATTACAGTAACATTTTTGCTATTAACTATTCTGTTGATGAATCCAAAATATACGCAATTACAGATCTAAATATAGTCCCTTACAGTTAAAAGAAATCAAGCTAAGTAACTCAGGAACCGAGGGAGGGAGAGCAGGCATCTAAACCCATGCAAAAATCTAACTTCACTTCTGTATAGCCATGCAATTTTACTTTGCAGCAAAACCTTGCTCGAGAAATTCCATAATACTTCCATGAATAGTTCTATTCAGAAATATCCTAGTTTGAGAAAGTAAGGTAAAAATTAAGCAAAAAATAATCAATTTATTTACTTCTCAAAATTGTTCATCTCATTCCATCTCTAAATGGCACTGTTCAACAAATCATTTTGTAACTACAGTGAGATGCCTGTCTTGTCTGATTTAAAACTTTGAGTGTACTTCAAAATTAGAGATGAGAAAAAACCAAAGAGAAGAGCCTTTGTTTAACTGTGCAGCATAGTGCACCAACCCATACAACCACACCTAAAGGGAGCATATCCAGCACCACAGGATACTCCATAGTCCCTTTCCAGCCTCACTTTTTGCTGGTACTGCAAGCAAGCATTCCAACTCTGTGAACACTCCTGGGAATGTGGAGCCTCATTGCCCTCCACACCAAAGTGAGAAAAACAAAATATTTTCACTCTAGAACATCAGGCAAAGGAAATCGGGTACTGATAAATGACCTGAACCAGAAGCAAACCTTTTTTTCCCACATCCATATGAAATTAAAGCTTCCTATAAGTTATATGATTTTTATTATTAAGCAAACCACTTTTTCCCTAACTAAACAGGCCTGGACTTTTAAAAGCAAGATGGCAGGCATCACACCAAGCAGCAACATAAATTAAGTGCAAAGCTGTATGAAATTTGAAGACTGGTACTAGATGTGAGAGCTATTTAAAAGGTGAATTCCCAAAATGCTTCAGTTGTTCTTTAGAAAGACCCAGGACCGGCCAGTGCCAAAGAAAGTGGTGCTTGGTAAGAACTTCCAGTGATAAATATCAGTATGTTTTAAAGCTTGTTTCACAGGTTTCTCTGTCTCCATACTGATTTTAGGAGAATATTTTAACCAAATCCAAAATAGCAATGCAGAAAGAAGTGCTGACAAGGAGAGGGATAATCCTGTCCTCAATGCTGATACTGAATTACTTCTGCACAGCTTACAAGAGAGTATCCCACTGAGATTTCTACAGATGCCCTCAATGGGAAGGACAGTAGACATGAACTCCCAAATTTTTCCCCAGAAAGGGAAAATAAGTCATCATCAGAAATACTAAACTAGTTACCCACAAACAGCTGTCATAATCATAAAGCAAATAAATGGGAAAAAAAACCAAAAACCAAACATGGAAGAATCTCCTCAATCTCCCTAATATTCACAGGAGTAACAGGGATTACAAGGAAAAAATAGCAATCTTTTTAAAAATGGTAGAATGTTTTGAGTTGCCAGCATGCTTTTAATTACGTTTAGAAAGTTAAAGTCTATTGCATGAACTAGACAAATTAAGTCGCTCAAAATCACAATGAAGTTGCTGATTTGCCAACATTTTTAATCCTGCAATTTACATGCTTAAATACATTCTTAACAATATCCTTTTAATAATCAAATACATTCACACTGGCAACTTCAGCACACTGACTGATGTGACAATTTAAAGTGTTTCAAGGGGGATATTTGGGTCTCTTCACTTTATATTTTAATGTTGCCAAAACACACATCCTCCTAACACCAAAGAAGAAAGTCAAGATTTTGGTGTACACTAAGACTGACCCAAACTGCCTGGAAACAAACAGGAAATTCACATATTTTTAAGGCCAGAAGGGACTGCTGTGATTGCCAATCTCACTTCTGCACAAAATAGCCTGTAAGATTTCACCCCAAAAGTCCTGTTGCAAGTATTTGGAAAACTGAATTACAGATGAATATCCAGCACAGAAACATCCTCAGTGTAAATTACTTAAATCAGGATTAAAATTTAAATTATGAAAAGCCTCAGTTTTCCTTTATCTGTAAACAGGTACGATAAAGAAGCCTCACCAGTACATCAGGGTGACACTTTTACAGCACAGCAGGATCAATTATTAAGAAGGTAACTCCTCCACACACGTTTCCACCTTTACTACACATAATGGCAAGCGATTCCATGAATGGCAATGCCATTTATTAAAATATTTCAGGTTTGAAATTTCATTTCTACAGTGTCATTTTTTAAAATACATTCACAAAATCCCATTTTTTGTTCTTTTTTAATGAAAATAATTTTACCAATCTGTGCAGTTTATCATTATTTATATAGTAAATGTTAATTCATAACTAAGGAGTTATTCCTATAGGGAAGAGAATCCAAAGTCACATCAATTACATCCTCATTTCTCTTTGTAACATTCATTTTTTGCCCTTTCCTCCACACTTTGTATCATCAGATCCAGGGGATATATCAGATTCAGGCACATCTGGATAGATGAGCTGAATAAAAAAAGGTTCACATGACCCTTACTCCATTAGCATATCCAGAAACTTTAAATTGGTATCCAATTTGCAAGAAACCAGAAAACCTAAGGTCTGCGAGTGCTTTCAGAGTAAAAATTCGCCTTCATATACTTCCCAATTGTTGTTTGAAGACTGGAAGCCACATTTTCCACAGCTGCACACACAAACTTGAAGTGAGAAGAGGCCAAATGTAAGGCTGTTTGTCTTTTCTTAAATGCTGCCATATTACAATCCTAAAAGCAGTAGTTTTATACTGTACTAAAGCATGGAAATTCAAGCGAATTAAAATCACATTTGGAAAAAAAAAAAACAAACCCACGTTCAAATCACCTTCAAAACACAGGTCTCGTAACTTATTTTTAAAATTAGCCTTGAAACTTTGTTTTTTATTTATGCTGCTACTGATAACTGATGTTTATCCGCCAAACATGTCACAAATAGAAAACAGATTAAACTGCAGTTTTAAAATTTATTAGCGTTTGTAAGAGAGGCTTCTCATAAAATTAAACATCAAGCTTTTCTCTTGGTGTCTATTCAAAATCTTGGATGTCTGATCTTTATCAAAAATAAACATTTGAGGCCAAATTTGACATAAATCTTAAAACACAGCATAAAATTACTTTTAAAAATTATTATTTTAAGTGCACAGATTTTTCTCCCATTTTCAATGCAAAAGAAAAGCTATTTCCATTCCCCATTAAAGCATTTTTAATTTGAAATTGTTAAGTACTAGAAATCAACAATCAAACACAATGAAGATGCAATATGAGATATGAAGCTTCATAGCCCACCTTTCTTCTTGACTGGCATTCTTCTTCCTACTTCTGAATCTGGTTGCAATCACTTTTTTACAGGTACTAACGAAGTACTACTGGAACACTCTGCAAGGTCAGGAACTGACTATCTATTGCAGAACACTTTTACAGTTCAGTAAGGAAATGCAGCTTCAGTCTTCATTTCTGTGAATACTTGCTGATCCCTTGGATTGGACTTCCGATGCTCTCCACAAATAAAAAAAAGGGAGGAAAAAGAAGCTTTTTGATTCTTTTTAAGAGATGCTTTCAATTTCTTTAAAATATATTTGACTCTACAAAAATACAAGAGCAAACGTTCCTTGGCAATATAAAACCTTATTATAACTCCTCTTCTGGCAGCAAAGTTTGAAAATTAAAAGATTTTATGCAATACAATTAAGGCACGGTCCATATCTAGGCAGCTGTCTCAATACTCCACCTGTACATGCTCAAAAACATATTATTTGTAGGATAAAAATGCCCAAGTAATCCAAATAAGGAGGAAGACAAAAACAATCCAAAGTGCCTCTTTAAGCTGTTTCACTTCTTGAATTAATTTTGCTAGCTATGTATTAGGTGACTACACAGCTGACTGAAAAGATCCCTTTTTTCTGACCAGACAAGAGCCTTCAAATATCACCCTCTAACCCAACAGAAGTCACTGGGCAGACACTTTCATTTTTATTATCTGCAAGCCACCCAGCCTTACGGTCTTTAATGTCCCTCTGATCCTCCCATGTATTAAAAGAGAGGATTGAAAACGAGGAAAGCAATCCCTTGACCTGGAATTATTAAAGTGACAGTGCTGCCCACTGGGCACTTGGGCACAGCAGATTGCTTTATATTGGAGTCATTTACTTCATGCCATTCCTTCCCTTGCACAGCAGCAGCCACCTCGTGAAAGAGGAGTTAGGAGAGTTAGGAGAAGAGCTTCACGAAAGGTATTTTCAGAGATAATGAAGTATTAATGAAATAAAAAGCAAGCCATGAAATCAGTCCGGTGTTTCCCGCTCAGAAGTGCAGCTAGTTGGCTTCAGTATCAGCCTCTCTCTCTCCCTCCCTTTTTCTGGAAAAACAAAAAGAGAAACAGAAACGGGATAGATTTTCCTCATCTACTCCGTTAAGGAAAAGTCTGAGAAAGGCGGACAAGCCCGGAACGCTTCCCTTGCCCGCGAGAACGAGGAGCTGCGATGCACATGGCAGCGCTTTGCTGTGCATCGTCCTTCTTCTCTGCGAGACGGGAACCGTGCTCGTGGAGGGGGCGGCTCTGCTTCGCTCTCTGATGTTCGCAGTTGGGATCTGCTCGTCCCCGCATCCCGCGGGCAGGGACTCAGGGGCTGTCCCCCCTCATCCTCTCCCTACTCCACCCTCTCCCGGTTCTCTCGAACCCAAAGGGCCTGCTGCTTTCTCAGGCGAAACAAGGCACAGAGGGCTGGCTGGGTAGCTGGGGAACTGGCATAGAGCGCAGGTGAACTGGCGGAGCCAGCCTGCGTTAAGGACGAGGACAATTCCCCCCAGGGCTGCTGAGGGACAAACGAGAAGCACGAGCTGAGGAGAAGAGGGAGGGTTTGGAGGTGGGGCGAAGCGAGACGCAGCCGGGGCGAGGGGCGCTCGAAGGGGGCGGGACGGGGAGGAAGCACAAAGGATCCGGTGGCGAGGGGAGGGAGCAGCGGGCAGGAGGGCAGCGGGGGTTGAGAGGGCGGGCAGGGAAAGGGCGCGGGCTGAGGGGAGAGGGTCAGCGGGTTACCCCGAGGACTGGCCCTCCCCGCACCGAACGGGGAGTCCCCGCGTCCCGGCCGCCGGTGCAGGGTCGGCACTCAGCCCCGCCGCCATCGAGAAGCCGCCGCCGCCATCCGCCGCCCCGGCAACCAGCGCCGGGCCCCGCCCGCCGGCCCGCCGCCAATCGGCGGCCGCCATGCTGGGCCGGCGGCCAACAGCCCAATCACAGGCGGCCTCTGAAGGCGCTGGTCATGTGAGCAAGCAAGATGGCGGCGCCCATAGGGAGGGCGTGAGCTGGGAGGAGCCATGTTGTAGGCGGCGGGAGCAGCTCGGTGGAGGCGTTGGGGCCGTGTCCGCCCGTGCGGTTCAAGGTCGGAGACTGATCCCGGCGGGGAGGCCGGGAGGGTCAGCGCGGTGCCGGGGCAGCGACTGGTAGCGGTGGGGTTTGAAGGTCGGGGTCGAGCCGCAATTTCGCAGCGTGAGGGCTCTGACTGGAGCTGTGCTCCGGGGCTTTGGGAGGGCTCCCTCTGCCTCCGGCAAGGCTCAGGGAAAGGCGTGTGTACAAGTCGTGAGCAAGGCTCGGGGAGAGGGGGGTGCTTACAGCTCCGTGACATGCTGTCTGTGGGATCCCAAAGCAAGGTTTGGGGACCCTCCTTAGGCCGCCTGAAGCGATCCCGGTGAGCTCCTGCCCGCTTGTCTCGCTTTCTCCGCTCCTGTATCCTGGCAAGCCCGAAGTGAAGCAGGTTCAGTCCCACAGCTAGGGCTTAGGACGCAGCCTTCGCTTTATAAAAGCAACTTAAGGTAAGTATGATTGGCAAAGTAAGTCTGGAAGAACTTCCTCTGCAGTAAAATGTATAGGAAAAGAAGCACTTGAATCACTAAACTCCAAGTGTAATCAAGAGCTGTTGTAACGGGTTGGCCTCAGGAGGCCACCAAGATGCTCTTACCACTTTCTGCCCCCCTTAACAGGACAGAGAGGAGGGATAAGGTATGAATAAAAGCTCGGGGTTGTGGTAAGAACAGAGAGATCATTCATCAATTACCATTACAGTGAAAACAGTAAACTGTGGGGAAATTGAATGTTGTCAATCAGTCAGAACAGGTAATGAGAAATAAATCACTCATATTTCTCTATGTCCTCTCTCTCTTAAAAGCGCGGGGAATGGGGATTGTAGTCAGTTCATCACGTGTTGTCTCTACCACTCCTTTCTCCTTGCACTCTTTTCCAGTGTGTGGTCCCTTACACGGGAGACAGTTCTCCACAAATTTCTCCAACAGGAGCCCTTCCCACAGGCTGCAGTTCTCTATGAACTCCTCCAGTGTGGGTCCCTTCCACAGGGTTCAGTCCTACAGTAGCAGTGGCTGTTCCAGTGTGGGTCCCCCACAGGCTTACAGGTCCTGACAGGAGCCCACTCCAGCACAGGCCTCCCACAGGGTCACAGCCTCCTTTGGGCATCCAGCTGCCTTGGCACGGGATCCTCCAGAGGCTGCAGGTGGATCTCTGCTCCACCATGGTCCTTCATGGGCTGCAGGGGCACAGCTGCCTCACCATGGGGTGAGGGGGGGGAATCTCCACTCTAGCACCTGGAGCACTTCCTGCCCCTCCTTCTGCACTGACCATGGTGTCTACAGGGCTGTTCCTCTCACATGTTCTCACTCCTCTTTTCCAGCTACTGTGGTGCAGCAGTTTACCCTTTTTTACTTTCCCACACACACCACCAGTGTAGTGGTTGGGTTAGGCTTAGGCTTGGCCAGCACCAGGTCTGTCTTGGAGCCAGCTGGAACAGACTCTGTCAGACGTGGGGGAAGCTCCTGGCATCTCAGAAGCCATCCTTGCATCCCCCTGCTACCAAAACCTTGCCACACAAACCGACTGCAACTGTATGCTTTCTGATTTATGTCTACAAAGTATGGATTTATTTGGTTGGGGTTTTTTCTTACAGTTCTATTTGACAGTTAAGTCAATTTAAATCTGGAGTATTGCCATGCAAAATAGGAAATGCATTTGTGATTCATAAAGAGTCTAAATGTTTATCTGATTCATACTGGGGCTATGCAACTTCGATTACATTTGTTTATTTTTTCCTTATGATCCAGAACTTCAAGATGACAGGAAGAGAGTTTCTTGAACTAGATTCTCCACAGCGAAGACTAATTTTGGAAAGATTTAAGCGGATGGAAATCATACAAAAGATGTTCAGTGAGCTTCCTAAAGCAGATCAGTAAGTGCTGGTAAAGTAAATAAAGATAAGTGCATCAAACATTTCAAGTCTTAGAGGCCTTTCTTTTTCCTTATTCTTGTATTGCAAATTTTCCATGCAGTTACAAAATTTGTTAATTGTGAAGATGCTTGTTATTGTCCAGAACAGAAAAACTGTTCTGTGTTATTTCAGTGTTGGCTCTGGTCCTGCTCAGCTGGTTTCTGGCATGTGCTCCCCCAGTGCTTGGAGTTCTGGGATGGCTGATCAGCCCTGACTGGCTCTGAGCATTCTTACAGTCTTGTACTAGAGCTAAAAAAATTTCTAGGAGAGTGAAATGTGATTCTGCTGGAGTCATCTTGTGTCCAGCAGAGCTGGCCTGGGGCCAGAACTGAGTGAACATCAACCTGCTGGTTTCTGCATTTCATTCTGCCCTGCTCCCTGTTTCAGGAAGGCAAGGCTAAGGTGTCCAGGTGGTGGTGGTGGAGTCAGCTGGAGTCCTGCAGGCTCACCAGCAGGGTTCTGTACAGCACAAAGGCAGCTAAATGCCTTCTGGGCCTCACAAATTACCTTTGGTTTGTGATACTGTATGTCACTGCAAAACCTTACTGGACCTGAGCTGGTTCTGTTAGGAGCCATTTACATGTGTTCATCAGCTTGGATAAATTTTTTAGAAATAAGAGTAATCAGAAGCTTATTTTATTTCTATTTTTTTTAAATAGGATTAAATTGCTGGCTAAACAAACTGCTGTTGGTAACACAGGGCCTCCCCACACAGACAAGAAAGAAAAGGCTGCAACTTTGTGTAGGATCTGCGACCCTCACATTCAGCTTCCAAAACTCCTCCTTCCCCATGAGGGCAGGGGAGGCAGATACTCAGTAGTGATGTGGTAATGTCTGGATAGAACTCTGGACTTATGGATTGCTGGGCCTTGGAAAGAAATAGCTGCCAGTTCCTGGCAGGACTTAAAGCTTGTATCCAGAGGGCAGCTCACTCATGTCTGGAAAGGAAGAGCAGGCACCCAGCAGTCAAACTGAGAGTTCGTGTTTATCCAAACACTTGTTTTTAACGGTAGGGAGCTCAAACAAACAAAAAAACCACAAACCCCAACTCTTCCATCCTCCTTTTCTTTTGTGCAGTGTAGCAGTTCTGTACCTCACTAAGTAGGTTCTGCTGGTCCTTGGTACATTAATTTGCTCTGGTTTGCAGAGCACTTAAATATACTGCTAAAATTTTAATCTCAGTCCTCCATATTTATTGTTGTGCTTGCCTGTGTTTCACTGCCTGTGATTGTAAAGGTAAAATTTGAATTTTCCTATGCAAAACAAGAAATACTTGGTGTCCTTGATGTCTGACATTTTTAATGTTTTAAGATTTGCAAGATCAGTAAATAGATATCTGAAATCTTTTCTGTATATTTTTTTAGTGCTTAATATTATTTGAAACATTAAAATGTAGAAGGATTGTAAGTGGATTGACTTGACTTTTTACAATTATGTATTTTGTTGTATATATATTTCCTCATTTCTTTTCAGAAAACATCCTTAGAAACATGCTTATTATGAGAGTTTTAATGAAGTTTCCATTAACTATAATAATGAGAGGAAAAAAATTGTAGCAATGGCTTCTCAACCTGTCACTTTACTCTTGAAGTGTGTGTAAACTCAGGTGTGTAACAAAGGATGCTGCAGTGGCTGCTTTTGAAAGTAGCTACTCTCCATTTTGCACCAGTGAGAGACTGACATCTCTTACCCCTTGTTGTAGGATTTTCAGAAGAAAATTGTAGTGTTGACTAAACTAATCTTTTTTACAGTTCTCAATTGCTGATATGGCTTTCATTTTTTCACAGGAACCTTTGTAATCATGGAAAATACTTCCTAGCAGCAAATTCAAGCTTATGTGGCTTAGCAGCAAATAATTTCTTCAGGAGCATCCTACATGTCAGAAAGGCTTCACTGGTGTCTGCTATGCCAATGGCTGTCATTCCATTTCTTTCAACAGCAGTAGTTTATGAAGCTTTTGTGCATGACCCTTTATTTTCAGGTAAAAACCTCTTTATTCCTTTTTTTTTTTCCCAAAGGGCTTTGCATTCTTTGTTACACAATGTAGCATTAGAGGAGCTTTTTCTCCCTGCAGAACAGTGCTCTTAAACTGTAGTGGTCTTAAAAAACCTGAGTTTGTAAAGCAGAGTTTGAAAAACAGAATGCATTGGACAGCAGTGAGTTGTCAAAGTGGAGTGGGAAAGGAGATACATATGGTTATATATTTCTAAAAAAATTCTTTCACAGATTATCTGTTTTCAGCATTTTTCACTCAAAGTTTAGTAAAAGTGACTGCAACAAAGCAGTTCAATTTCCCCCATCAATGCAATTTCATTTGAAGGTCAACTTTTGAATGATGAATTCCTCATAGGTTGGAGTGAGAGTGATTATTTTTGGTTTTGTCTCATTTTTGTTTTGGGACTGGTTTTGTTGTTTTGGGGTTTTTTTGTTGTTTTTTAAAAGAAGAGACCTCGTCCTTTATAATTTTTGGCATATCTGTACAGCTTGGAAGTTTCTGTCAAGAGCCTGTTTTCAGGTTCTTGCACACAGCATATAAATTGATGTGGTGAAGAATGTGTGAATATTGGCAGTGAAATATTGTTTGCCACGCAGGTCAGCTGAACTGTGAGGTCTGTGCTGTGATCAGAGGAGGATTAGTAGGTGCTGTTGTGGGTGGTTTCTATCCCATTTTCCTCGCTATCCCCTTGAACGCAAGCCTTGCAGCCAGGTATGTCTTTCTTAGCTGAAATGTATTGACTGAAATGTAATTATGGGTTAAATGTTCAGTTCTCGGTGTAAATTCTGTAGATATTTAATCTGTGCATACTTGTCATCTTGTAGACATTTAGGATGTGGAAGGAGATTTACATTAAGGTCATCTGATTACAAAGTGAAGTTTGTACAGGCTACACCAAAGTGAAATAAGATCTGCAAAGAAATCCATGGGGAAGCCCTTACGTTTAGCAGGAATCTTCCAAGTCTCCCAGGGTGTGCTTGGGTGTGTGAAGTGGTGGCTGCCATCACTGAAGGTGGCTGGACAGCCAGACCTCACTGACCCTGGGCAGTGCCCAGCAGCCAAAGTCCCTGACAGGTGTCATTCTGTGCAGTTCAGAGCACATCAACGGCAGGGCGAGGCTTGGTGAGACCCAGGGCGTGGTCAGGATGTTTTAAAAGCATTTATCCAGAGAGCTCAATACCACCAGGTAAATTTAACTTAGGAGAAGGAAGACAAAATTACTATCTACATAAATATTTATGTTAAATCTTGACACTTGCATGGAAAAAAAAGTAAATTTCTACCACTGTTTCTGCTGTTTAGGTATATGTCAACTCCCTTGCCAGGGAAGGAAAATCTGCTACGCTACTGGCTCACAACTGCTCAGCCTGTCTTCAGAAAGATGAGTCTGGGTATACTGGTACAGGCTCTGACTGGATTGTACCTTGCCACTAAACAGCATGGAATATATATGAAAATGCTGCTGCAGATGAACACTAGCAGGGATCCTGAAGAGCTACCTGAATGAAGTAAAGCAACTTTTCAATTGCCTTGGATAAATAACCTTAATAAACAAGAAAAAGAAGTCCCACTGTGTCTTTTTTAATACAAAAGCAGAGTGTCTGCACTGGCATTTTTAAAGTTTTGAACTCAAATGCAGGTTAAACTTTTCATTATGCCCAGTTTAGTGTACACACCTGAATAACAGGCAGGTGTGTTGTTTTGGAAATGAGAGGCAAGAAAGCATTTATAGTGCCTGCTTAATGTTTGGCTCTAAGGTGATGCTACAACTTTTAGGAGCTATAAATAGTGTTCTTGAAAAAAAGGTTTTTCTTTCATAATGTAAACCATAGAAATTTATTTTAAAAACCCAAATCACAAAAAAAAAACAACAAAAGGGGGAAGATCAAGGCAGGGTTTTACCAGAGATTCCTCAAAAACTGAGTATTTTTCTCCCTTTTCTCCATTCTATTAGCACAAAACTTCTGTCACACAATTACCCCTTTTACACTGTTAGATAGGTCAGATTGTAGAGAATACTTTTATCACAGAGCAAGCAGGAGTGATAGTTGTGTCACGCTTCCCACCATATCAAAAAACCAGCCTTTGGCCTTGTAATTATTTTGCCCTGAAATTGTTTTCCTGAAGGATGGGGCCATGTCAAGAGGCCTGTGAGGGCCAGTGCTGTTACTGGGATATCTCAGCTATGTCTAAGATCAGTGGTCCTGAGTAATGCACTTTAGAGTCAGCTGTGTCTTCACATTGGTGGCTCTATCTTCCAGAGCAATTTAAATTGCAGCTCTCCTACTGCCTGGTGTCTTTAGTGTATTCTGAAGTCTGAGAGCTAAATCAGGAATTCCTCTACAGAAGCAATACTCTCGATCTGATGTATAGTCCTAACTCCTATAGGTGGGTGTTGGCTTCTTCTCACTGGCAACAATGACAGGACAAGACGAAATGGCCTCAAATGGTGCAAGGGGAGTTTCAGGTTGAACTTCGGGAGGAATTTCTTTCCGGAAAGGCTTATTAAGCATTGGAATGACTGTGCAGGAGGTCGCAGGAGTCAGCATCCCTGGAGGTGTTCAAGAAACCACTGGCTGTGGCATTTGGTGCCATGGTCTAGTCGAGGAATTGGTGATGAGTCAAAGGTTGGGCTTGATGATCCTGGGGATCTTTTCCAAACCTAAATGATTCTGTAACTGTAAAAGCTATACAGTTACTGGTCAACAGTCACTTCAGTAAAATTCTAGCATCCCCTGAGACGCACATGGAAATATTTATTCATGAGAATTAAGAATTCAGCACTGAGATCTTTAATTGAAAGGGGTTAAAATTTATGCTGTAATGCTGATAAAAAATACATTGAAGGAGTTTCATCATCTTTATCTACCTTTTCCCATAAAATGGGTCATTAGAGCAGGAACATGACACATTTTTTATAACTAGGAGCAGCAGCCTGACCTGTACAGGGAAGCAGCAATACAGACTCCCTGTTGTTGTTAGGTAGAGATCATTTAGTTGTCCTTGATTCGAAGTGTTGCTGTGTCACATGGTGTTCCCATGCTGGTCTGTACCCAGACAGCTTGGCCTTACCTTAATCACCCCAACTGGAGATTCTCATTTTACATGACAGTGAATTGTCATATCTCCGGAAGCCATCAGACTTTAACCAACAGAACCACTTACCTGTGATAATAAAAACATAAAATAAAGGTGTTATTGTGCAATAGTATCCTGAAGAGTGACAATGATTGGCTCAGTGATTATTACATGCCTTAAACATGATATAGTTAAAATACTGTAAACAGATTTCAGTGCTTATTAAAGGGCGCGATTCAAAAGTATCTTCCCTTCCATGTACTACCTTCATTTTGGTATAAATTAAAGTCATAATTATCCTCAGTCACCAAAATGCATGTTCTGACGTTTAGTGGTCTGACCTGGACAAACCGTATCCTTTCAGATACTGATTTCTTAAAGTGAAGGGTGAAGACTATATCTATTAAAAAAAAAGTTACATTCCTCAACATTTTTAGTAAGTTGCAAAGACTGACAGTTGTTTCCAGCACAAACTGCAAGCATGTACTTTACATGTTCAGCACTAGTCACATCACAGCTCAGCTGAACACTCCTGAGACTAGAAAGGTGATGTGTTTGTGAACAAGGGAATTTTTAATTACACACTCTGTACTTCTCCTTAACCTATTGAGGAGAAGTGTTCTCAGAAGTTAATCAATGAAGTCTGAAATTGTTTCAGAACTCCATGGGATAGCAAGACACTATCCCAGTTCTGGTATGCATGCATGTGGAGGAGTGCCTACAACAGGAATCTGGGAATGCTCCCTCCATTCCTGGTTTCATACACAGTATTTGACCTAACTCCTACAACCCCCAAGAACCAGTCCTCAGCCTCTGACAACTGTAACAAGCTCCCCATAAAACCTAAGTGAGAGCAGGTGTTAGCTGGATCCTTCCACCATTGTGGTAGAAACAAGTTAGGCACAGGCTACATATCCCAGAGAAAGGACTTCAGGCTACTTCAAGTCTGAACTACAGCCAAAAGAAGGCCAAGAATGGCTACAGGTAAAGAGCCAACAGAAATACTAAAAAAGTACCACTTTTATCTTCTAGATGCACCATTCTAAATGCTGTCTCAACATTATAATCTATTCTACAGCTTCTGCAAATGACACCCTCATCCTCCTGGTACATGTGCAAGTCCTGCCCTTGGCACCCTCCTACTAATAAGCACAGGCAGAGATATTTCTCTACATCTGCATATCCCAGTTAAACTGGGTGGAAAATGTAGAATCAGCAGCTGGTAACCTGCAGTTTTTGCACAGGGTGCTCTTTAAACAGAGCCCATTTGAACAGCTCCCATACCTAAAATATCCTTCAGTCATTTTACAGTGTTACTAATAGTAAGTATAGCCCTATAACCAGAATATTGCTGATTCCAGCAGAAACTCCTCCATGGCATATTGATCAAACATATCTATATTAATAAAAAATTAAAAACAGCTATGAAAAACAAGAAGTGCTGATTCTCAGAAGTACAGCTCTATCTGCAGTTGAAGGAATAACACCTTTGTGTTGTCCTCACCACAAAATTACCTTTGAAGACAGATGAGCAAGAACATTTCTCCTGCATACCCTGACCCATTTTATCTTGTTTTCCATTGTCTATGACCCAGAGATAACAGCAACCTTTCTGTTTTACCACTTTGTTTAATGAACCAAGTCATTCATGAAAAGAAAAAGATGAAAAAACATTTGAGCCCATGAACTGAAAGATCAACAAGTCTGATTTTATTATGATATTGTAATCTTATCTGAATGGCACATAATTACAAAGAAACATTTACAATATATTTTCAAGTATTAAGTTATGTCATTTCAAGGCTTTCACTTCAAAAAGCTACATTAATAATACACCATACAGATAGTACAGTTGGTTAGAGTTTCAAATAACTTCCTCCCTTCTATTTGGTTTAAATATGATTCAGTAGGCACTAGAAATGCCTGCAGCCACTGACTTTCTTGGGACTTGACCTTGTTCTTGTACCACAACACATCATTTTGCATGTCAGAAAATCAGCTGCTCTCAGACACAGCCACAGGTCGTGTCACGACAGAGCATTGTGCAGGTTCACAGCAGAGGCCAGAAGAACTGTCCTGACCCTGCCATTCAGCAGTGATGCAACAAGAAAGAATGCATGTTTAAATTAACTCAAAATAACACTCCTACACTGAAGTAACTGTAAAAATGCCACTGGAACATCCCATGCTTGCTACATTAGTGTTTCTCTTTTCCTCAAGCACTTTAAACTGCAAAATAAAGCTCGTTCATGAAGACTGAGCAAGGCAGCTTGAGATTAGGTTGAATCTAAATTATTTCCATTTTACATATCAGTCAGTGCAGGTCCTGGTGGTTAACTCTGACTCCTGCGCACTGGTATATCCCATCAGTTACAGCAGAGTTACCAAGATTGAAACTTTGAACAGCCCTGTTGATGCCACCAAAGTGTAAGTCTAAGTCTCTTTTAATCCCACTAAATCTCTTTTATGCTGGCAATATCCCCTGAACAGATGGAATTCTGCATACAGTGGAGTAAAACTTGTTTGATAGAATATTGCCTTTTAAGAAAAATCATCTTAGATGACAGTAAATAATCCCAGCATTCAACTTCTTTTTTTTTAACCAAAGACAGCAAAAGCCCTGTTACCTCTTTATTCTCATTTCTTATACTACCTTTTAAAATAAAGCAGGAAATGTGGCCAGCAGCTGGTCCCGTCTCTTCTGCCCCAACACAGCTGAATCCACTTTAGCATAAAGAAAAACAAGGATGCTAAATACACATATACTTTATCACACAGTGATGTTTCACAAAGAAAAATCAAACTCCTTTTCTACTGATGAACATGTGACAAGGTCTAGCACCAATAAAGCAAATTGGGAGAATTTGCTGGGAGAAAATGCTTTCACCTACTTAGCCTTAAACACAAAATTTAAGGCTTTAAGAAACAAGACTACAGAAACACTGAAGAGCCTTTTTTAAAGAAATTAATAAATGAAGCTGTTTTAGAAAAGTATTCTTTGTGAAACCTCACTTTACATATTATCATTTTCACAATCCTTCTTCCCCCAACTGACATACATTTAAACAACCTAAACATTATAATACAACTGAAAAAAGAACCCACTCATCTTTTGTGATAGGGAGAAACACTGACTAGTACAATAGAACACACACTATTTTTTTGTCAAACTATTTTTCCTCCTATCTCAGGAGCAATTATGGAACTTTTTCATATCATTAGCCTCACAATACATATTTGCTCATCTCCAAACTCTGCTTAATTATATCAGGTTATGGATTTCTGGATCCTGTAAGAGGCTAAATTAAGAATTCTACAGTAGAGTTAAGCACATGCGTATACATGCAATATTTTTAAAATTTAAAGCTACTCTGAAGTATCAGCAATTTCAGTGTGCATGGGCACAGAGATTTACTTATGGGAAGATAATGAGTTACTTCGATGCACTGATTCTTCAAACCTAATTCTCCTTTTAGAGGTCCACGCAAGAGTGACTCCTCTGTGTGAGGATTCCTCTGTAGAGATTTAACCAGTGCTCAGGCTGTTTCATTAGGTAAAAGTCTGCATCGTGAATCAGAGCAAGCTACAGAAGGGCTTTTGAAAGGTGCTGTGCATCCCTAACAGCAGACAGCATTTTAAACCAACAGGTCACAAATTCCTTCTCTTTTTTTCATTCAAAAAGCAATTTACTTAGACTTTTGGGACAGTTCCCTGTAATAAAAGGCTATAAACGTCACATCCCCCTTATTAGCATATTTTCCTTTTTCAGCTCATCAGGTACTTGGTTTAATAGGACATTTCTATTTCAAATGGTGTGAGCATTTTTTTAAAATTCAAAATGTAGCTCCTGTATTGGCTACTATGTAGCAAATGTATTTGTTTCAAAAACCAAAATAGGAAAACAGCTAATGAGAATGATGTGATTGTAACCTTTACTATTAGTTGCCATCCAGAGCTAGAAACTCTGGACTAGGCAGACTAGGCCAAGGACCAGACAAATCATTTTCTGGACCAGTCATTATAAGAGACTGGAATAAGCAAAGCAAGCTGTCTGATACCACATTATGGGAATATATTGATCCTTACCAGGTTGCGAGGTGGAAAACGACTGTTCTTTAACCCCTACACAACGGAGCCTGGCAGGGCAACCACCTAAAAGAGAAACTGTCAGAGAGGTTTTAATAGTAATGTATAACTGAGATGCAGTATAATTTTATATGCATGCTTTCTTTTGCCGATCATTACTATTTTCTTAACTCTGTCCAGTGACGATGTCATAATGGAGTTTTTGTTTGGTTTTCTAAGCAAGCATTTTCGGCTCCTCAGGATAAGCAGGCTAGACATTATCTGACTCAAGACCGGGTAGTCAGCATTATCTTTACTGCGAAGTGGAGCCGAGCACACCTTCATGCATCAAGTCGGCATGATCTTTTCACCCAAGTGCTGCAAACGGGCTCTGGCGGCACCGTGTCAGTCTGCACGACCACAGTCGCACTGCTGCACACAGCTCTGCGCGACTCCCATCGCCAAACAGGCTCACACCACTACCGTCCACACGCCAGATTTACAGGACCTTAAACCAAGGCCACCGTCTGGCTCCCAACGTGCCGTTCGAGAGATTTTTTTTGTTTACCCTGGCCACTTAAGTAAGCGCCAGGTTCCCCTCCTTTGCATCTCCCCCAATACCACCCCATCACCACTGCATGGATTCTTTTCCTCCGCACCATTGCCTGCTTCCTCCGCCGCGACGCGAGGCCCTTACGGGTGAGAACCCCACGAGTACTTGCAGCAGGTACTTGACCCTACATTTTGAAGGAGGCCGCTGCCCGCCGAGCACAGATGGAGCAGAACTCCACCGACACCTGATCCCGGTCCACGTGCAGGCAGATCCCGCCAGGGGCCGCCCACTCCTCCTCCGTCTCAGTCCCCACCGCCGCCTCCTCCAGGCCGCGGGGCCTGGAGCTGGGCAGGGCGTAGTCGTGGTCGCTGCTCTCGCCGGCGGGCTGGAGGTGCTGATGCTGGCGGCGGGGGCTGCCAGTGTCCCTGAAGAGGCTGGTGCTGAGCTGCAGCCCGCCGGCGCGGGTCCCGGCCAGGCGGCTCAGGAGCTGCCCCAGCGCGCTCTGGTTCGCCAGCACAGCCCGCAGGTAGCTGCTCTCCCGCTCCAGCTCTCGCAGGCGGCGGCTCAGGCCGCGGTTGCGGTCCCGCAGCTGCCGGTTCTCGGCAGCCAGGCCCTGCAGGCGGCTCTCTAGCCCCAGCACATACTGCTTCTTCTTCAGCCGGTTCAACCGCGCCGCCGCCGCCGCCTTCAGCCGACTCCCGGCCCCGCCGCTCCTCCGCCCGGGCGCCGCCGGCCGCGGGCCCTGGCCCGGCGCGGGCAGCGGCTCCGGGTCCCCACAGAAGCAGCCGCTCAGCTCCGCGTCCAGGTCCCAGTCCGGCCGGGCCGCCTCCAGCAGGTCTCCCAGCTCCAGCCCCGGGAACCAGTCCTCCTGCTCCCACACCTCCAGCGGGCCTCCGGGCGCCTCGGCCTCCTTCTCCTGCCGCCGCGGCTCCGAGGCGCCCGGAGGCTCCCGCCGCGGCGGCGGCTGCGGTTTGGGCCGCGCGGGGCCCGGGTCGCCTTCCCCGCCGCCATCCCGCCCTCTCGGGGCCTGCCCCGCTCCGGCCAGCGGCCAGACGGCACCCGAAGGGCTGGCCCCGCCGGCCGAGGCCGCCAGCAGCTGCGTGAGGCTGTGTCGCATGGCGGAGCGGCGGGAGCGGGGCCCGGCGGGGCGGGACGGAGCCTGAGGGCAGCGGGCGCGCGAGGCTGCGGCCCGGCGCTCCCGCCGCGGGGCCTGCCGGGAAGCGGCGCGCGGGGCGGGGGGAAAGGTGTGGTGTGGGAGCGCCGCGCGACTGCGCCCGCGCGCGGGAAATCGGCGTCTGGGAATGTGGCGGAACTGCTGCCAAACGTGGGATACGTACAAATTTTCTTGAGAGAGGATGTTCTTTGACGTTGGATCTTTGTATACTTTCAAGCCCAATCAACGAGAAGGGAGATCCGTGAAACAGAGAGCAGCCAACAAGCTCTAGGGGATCTCCAACTGTTAGAAGGACAAATTAATTGTCACTAGCATTGCCTTGTTAAAATTTAGGGCTCAACCTGTTTCAATGACCTCAGACCTAGGAGGAGGTTAACAAAGCTTGGGAAGAAGGATGTACCGCTGATAGTGGACACAAAGAATGCGGAATTTACGTGCCACGAGGACATGTGGCAGAACTCCCACGATAAGGAATAAATTAATAAACCAAACTCAGCAACTGTGCTAAATCAGCTCCGAATGGGTAAAACATAATTCCAGCAGGGGGAGATCCCAACCACCAACTCACGGATCGCTGATCCCAAAAAAAGAGAAAGATTGGGCATGCAAGCTAATTATCAAGAGAGAATCATTAACTGATAGAATACTAATTAATAAGAGAACTGAGTAACTTGTAGCTTGTAACAACAATTCCCTTGTTTGCTAAAACACATAAATAGTAAAAAATGTTGATAGCTGGGGTGTTTGATTTGGGGAATATCACCAAGCACCCAGGCTTGTGCAACTGTGAAATAAATTAACGTCTCACATGTGTAATTACTGGCATGTTGCACACCAGGTAACAAATCTCATTTCTGTGGACAGCAGGGTGACAGGTGTGGGAGGCTTGGGGTGTACAGGGGGGTGTGTGTGATGGGGGTGAAGGAGGGAATGGGGGCAGTGACAAGGGGTTTGTGTGTGAGGGAGTAGGGGGGAAGGTCTCTCACACATAGACATTTCCAAAGAGTGGGGAGATGTCCCTGAGGAGTGCAGAATGTGGGTCTTAACCAAGCACACTATGGCTGGGGCAGGGCCAGAGGCCCGGGGGGCTGTTCTGTCACACAGCATGCGGGTCTCTGCCCAGATTTAGAGTATTTAGGTACCTGGTTTCAGGGTGTCTTGCAGCAACCAGAGGGATACAGGTGCTCCTTGCTGCCTATGAACTAATTCAAACAGAGCTGCCAGCTCTCCAGATCAACGGTGTAGTGTGTAATGTGAGTCAGTGGGCATTTAGGCTGTAGCTGCCAGCACTGAGATTAACTAAATGTGTGTGGGAGGTGGGCACCTGAGGGCAGGGAAGTATGGTTAAAAAGTACGAGAATGTGGTCCATAAAACACGTGTGGAATGACACTTGTAGGAGCCAGGATCAGAAGAAATGCTGTGGTTCATCCCACAGCAGGTAGCAGAGCAATACTTCTCACCTGGAGTTGCGTGGGTTCAAGGACAGTCCAGAGAAGTTCAGAAGAAAGGCTGCTAGCAGCTGCTGCTCATGAAGAATTAGAATCACTGAATCATAGAATTGTTTGAGTTGAAAGGGACCCTAAAAATCACCTAGTTCCAACCCCCCTGCCTTGAGCTAGTAAACCTTTCACTAGACCAGGTTGCTCAGAGCCCCACCAACCTCACATTGAAAACTTCCAGGGATGGAGTCATCCACACCTTCTCTGGGAAATCTGTGCCAGAGTCAGAAACCACATCTGGTTCAGCCAGTCCTTGAGACAAACTGGTTACTGGCCTCCAGACCTGCTGCCTCCAGTCATTTCTGTAAATGACCTCAATAGATACCAAGTCTGACACCATGCTGTGGCTTATAGATACTCAGACCAAGATGCACTCAATCCATTACCTAAATTCTTCAGTTATCCCAAGGCATAAGCATGTGGCAAAGAACTTGAGGTACTCTGGAGGCAGCTGCCTACAAGCCCAGGTGGGGCATGCTGTTTGGCCCATCATGGTGGTTGTTTTGGGGTATTTTTGTTGTTGGAGACTTAAAGAGCAGGAGCTGAAACTCAGCAGCAAAAAACTTCCTTCTTGCCTAGGAGACCAGCAGGAGAGAGTGGGAGGTCTCTGTATCCCACAGTGCTGACAGGAAAGATGTTTTCTTTTTGTCAAAAGCTGCCAGACATGCACAAAATGGAAGAGTGTATCACTAATGTTTATCTCCAGGAAACAGCTAAAAACTGGGAAAAACCCCTGGGGGAACATCTAGAATATTGTCCTGTTCCAAAGAATAAATTGAAATCACCCAAAAGATTTGACCATTTTTTCTGAGCTGAATGAAGATACAAATACTACTCTAGCATTAAATGGGGCTTAAACGACTGCAGAAATCTGTAAAACTACTAAAAAACTATAAACAGTAATTTTCTTGAGAATCAATTGTTCTGTGATATTATTGCATTACCTGTTAAGTTCCTGAATGTGGAGAATTGCAGAGATACTGCAAGGTAGGATTTCTTTCTTAGAGCCTCAGAGCCTCTTACATGCCCAGCCTCTGTTGAACTTCAAAGCAGAGTCAAATACAAAAGGCTACGAGTTTGAGCTTTTGGTCATCTTGAAAAATAAAGTGGTTTAACAATTAAAAAAATGAAAACCTATGATTCAGCAGAGGTTAGCACTAAATAAATCAAATTCCTATTTTATGTTTTCCACCGTAATCATTCATGTCACAGGTCTGACTGGTTCAATGATCCATGCTCAGATTGAAAAGTGTAGCGATTTACTTTCATAAAAGTGTAATGACAAAAAGGCTACAGAACTGTCAGTGGAGGAGAGTTTAAGCTGGTGAGGATGATATAAAGAAACCAGAAGATGGTCCCATGGAAAGGAACAAAATTCACTGGTGTGTTACTGTAGAGGCACCTGCTGAGAAGAGAATGGAGAAAAAACTGCAGTTGCACAACAAAGTGATGGAGTTTGACACTCAGAGCTCTCTCTTTAGTTAGCAAATCCACACTGTGCTTTCTGTAAGCATCAAACTGCAGCAAGAGTTCATTGTATGCCTGCTTGCTGCGTTCTTGCTGTCCTTGGAGCTCTGGAACCTTCAGATCTTTGTCTACTGCTGCTGCCTCTTTCTTGAGGCACCCTCCTGCTCTCTGCATGGCTTCTTCCATGGTCTCTAGCTTCTCCTCCAGCTTCTGAATACCTTATTTTGCAGAGCTTTGCTCCTCTCCATGGCCAGGTTCAGTAGCTGCTCTTTCTCTTCATGTGCCCTCTCCAGCTTGGCCTGCAGCTCACTGCCCTGAGCCCTCTGCTGACTCTCTGCCTGCTCAGCCCTTGCAGCAGCTTGTTGGTGCCTCTCCTGTAGGAGCTGCAGCTGCTTCTTCAATGAATCCGCCTCCCGGGCGTAGGTATCTGCTTGCTGGCTCTGAGCTTCCAGCAGCTCCTTCTCTCGCTCCTGGGCTCTGTGACTCTCATAAGCGTATCTCTCCTGCAAGGAGCACGGCTGCTGTGAGAGATTCCCGGCCTGGGCCACCAGCCCCAGCACTTCAGCTTCCTTCTCCCTCACGGCCTGGCTGAAGAGTGCTTCCCTGTCCTGCCGCAGGCGTTTGTTCTCCTCCCACAGCTGCACGTGCTGTTTGTTGTGTTCGTTTTTGAACTGGATCATTTTTTCATGGTTTTTGACCAGATCCATAAAGCGCCCCTCCAAAGAATGAATACGCTGGGTCTGGGGTTTAATTTTCACAGCATCCTCTGCCCTCAGTTTCTCCAGCTCCATGTTGAGCTGCTCCAGGTCTCTGCAGCATTCGTGTGTGTCATCCACTTTCTTTCTCAGTATACAGACAGGATGATGATGCTGTTCTAGGTGTGAAAGCAGCAGTGCCTCCTCACTCTGCTCCTTAGAACTCTCGGAAAGTTCCTCCAAGCCTTCTATCTTTGCTTGTCTCTGGATCACCTGTGGAGTCAGACATCCCTCTTTCTGTCTCCTAAGCCATGGAGCCCCCATCTCATGAAAAGACAAGATAAAATTTTAGAGTGGCTGCTTCTGTTAGTGACACTCAGCATAATTAAACAGTGCCCAGTGGTTTTGTGGCCAACACTGCTGCCATAAGCTGGTGATGTTTCTCTGGAAGTCGAGAGAAACTGAGGTGGGGAAACAGAACCTCCCAAAACCAATGTCAGCCAGCAACCAAACAGGCCTGCAGCCCTCCCTCTCCTCTGGTTCAGTCAGGCACACTGAGACTCAAGGATGCCAGACTCCGTGAGCAAAAGCAAAGAATGTGTGCTTAGTATTTATGCAAGGCTATTCATTTGCTGATGACTAGTTTCACTAATTATTCCTTCTCAAGGCACTGCTGTTGTAGCTACAAGAACTACTATTATATTTAGGTAAAAAGCTTGTAAGTGATAAAGCTGTAAATAATTCCTTACACAATCCTTTTCTTCTGCCTTTATTTTCTCCTACAGTTCTGTATTGTAACTGCAAATAAAACACGGAGGGTTACGTCAAACTTCTAATTGATTTACAAGATTTCTATGATAGTACATTGCATGCTAAAAATAACTGAATAGCCTTACCCCGTGCTTTGAGATTTATGAATCAAATAAAAGATCTATACAATGTTAATAATTAGTGAATGCTCTGTGGTACAAAACCTCTGTGCCTGGAGAAACAGCTCCACATCTGAGTTTTCACAGTGATCTGCCAGATTATTTTAGGCATGTAATTTTAAAAATCTGGTTCTTCATATAAAAATAAGGAAAACATTTGTATCACATATACACCAAAATGATTATTGGTGCTGAATCACACAGTATGCTACCCAGATATTTGAAAAATTAGTTTAAAACTCATCTACAAGTTTTTCACTTGGACACAGACCTGAAACAGCATGCTGATAATCAGGTTTTGTGAATTCCAAGCTTTGATTGGAGGTAAAGATAAGATGTGGGAAGAAGCCAGCTTAAAGCAAAGTTGAAAGATAATGTACAATAAAAACGAATGAACACCTGTGAAACACAAAGAATTTCAGAGCTGTGTAGTAGCAACTGCTACTACAGACACCAGCTCTGCCTCTACCATCCTGCACTCCCTCACTGTTGTTGCTACCTTGAATCCTTTGCAAATAATGGAGGAGAGGGGGAAGGACTGAAAGGTTTAGGCCATCCAGTGCAATTACAATGAAGAGCAAGGTTTAAGAAGAGAAAATTATTTCCTTACTAGGTATTTTCTTTCTGCTGTCTGTTTTTTGTCTCTCCTATTGTGGGATTCTGTTTCCATAGAGGTAAGACCCTGAATCCAGTCACTCCAGAGCTCATGACCTCATCCAGGCTGCTTGGAGCCAGGCCAGCCCCACCAGGGTGGCTGAAAGAGCTGGCAGTGTTTCTTAGCAAACAAACATTGCTGGCACTCTCAAAAGCACACAGATTTGGAAAAGGAAAGAGAATTTCCGCAAGCTTGAAGAACTCCTCGTTCTCAGCCTACTCCCTGCACATGCCAGAGGAGATCAGAATAGCAGGCTCTGACCTCAGAACACACTGAAGGTCCCTAGAAAGTAAAGACAGACCATGCCCTGAACAACTTGCAACTTTATTCAGCAGCTAATAAAAATCTGGCAGAAAGGATAGGGAAAGGAAAAATAAATGCAACTGGAAGAAAGAAGTCAGTGCAGGTTTTGCTGAATCGTCTGGAAAAGAACAACTCTCTGGAAGAGAGTGCTGTGGTAACAGACATGAAGCAAACAAGAGGAAGAGGGCACATTTCAAAAGTACGCATTTCAAAATGGGTAAAACCAAAGCAATGGGAGTTGCTGCACCAACTCAGGTTTGCAGCCTTACTTGCAGAGATGGGAGGTTTCTGAACACAGCACAAAAGGAGAGCTGAGACTTTGAAGCCTGGTTTATAGCAAGTGAAAACATTGCAATTTAGAAGATATATGTATATATGCATATACACACATATGTACTAAAAAAAAAATTATGGGCTAAAGATGAACTTGTAACATGAAGAAGAGAGGAAGGAAGTGTGCTTCTCCAGACAAGAATGAATATACATAAAGATATTCTAGGAGTGTGGCTGCTTTGATTCTTACTTCCAGTTCATCTTTATGACAAAGCATAGCTATTAATTTATCAAACAGCCCTTTAATGAGTAGCTAATTATGCACCTTTAAAATTTTGGTTATGGATGACTAAAGGCTTTCCTTTTGACTTAAGAACAAAGTAACAAGTTTCTTGAAACTTTTTATCTTAATCAACTTCCCAACTCACATTTCTCTATCAGTATATTATCATACTACTGAAGTTAAGAATTCTGTACACGGTGAAAAGAAAGCTATTAAAAACTGGGGAGGAACTTTTGTACTTAAGGAACAGTTTTTGTTACTTGGCTCAGTTTCTTGGTTAACCCAGATGAGTACATAGTACTCCTGTGTCATTAATTAATCAAACTAGTTAAGTACAAGTGCAATGTGCAAGTAGATCTTGCATTCATGTTCAGGTTGCTTTTCAAAATTTGAGATTTGATCTATTCCTGAGGTGATACACAGAGTCTTTTGAGATACCAGAAAAATTCTGTGTCAGTCTCTAGGAGGATTAAAAGAATAGCAAGACACAGAATGTCTTCTACTTGATCAGAAGACAAGGAGAGTGTCACTGTCACAAACTAAACCTTTTATTTTGATAGCAGTGAAGTTTAGGTATAAAAATTTTGTAGAGTATTATTGCAGAGTAGAAAACACAGCAGATTACATGACACTTGCCTGTAAATCTGGAGCCTTAAGACCCCATCCCTACAATTGAACCCAAAGCTGTTTAGACTTAGCAGTATATTGGAGCTTCACGGGAGATACAACTGCAATAAAAACATTAATCCTGTAAAACTGAAGGTCGTGCTCACAGCAACCTCTGTTTTCAGGTGGAAAAATTAATTATATAGCAAATCAATACAAATAAATTAGGTGCCTATTTTTTTTCAGAATCACCATCCTTTCAGGAGTGGCTCTTCCAAGAATGTAGACTCAAAGCAGCAGCTGTGCCATGTTGGTAAGAATACATTGTTCTGAAGTGTCATGCACACGTGTTTTGTATGTCTGGTGGAGTGGAAGCTGGAGCAATTACCAATCTCATACAAAACACCTGAATCAGGAAGATATCAAAGACTGGCAAACTGCTTTTGACATTTGTAAACTCCACAGACTGCCTAGCTGATGAGAGAGAAAGTGGATTCCCTGACAGTTTGAATAGCATCTTTCCTTTTTTCCATTCATGGTCTGTAATAAATACCAAGCAGCATTTAAATTTGTATGATTAAATCAAGCAATTGCATTGGAGCTGTGAAGAGCTCCCTTCTTCCCTCTAACTGAAGTGAAAGATTTCACCAGCTCTTAGACTTAGCTGGAGTAAATAACTGTGCATTTCTTTTCAAAAATGTTTTCTGTCTGCATTTTGTTACACTGCAAGCTGAATGGCCAACATAAACCACTGGCATTTAATAAAAACTGAATTCCTATTTAGTTTAAATAGGCTGCATTTATTTAAAAATAAAAAAGAAAATAAAAGGAATATATTTTGTATTTTATGTATTTATCTACTGGTAGCATGCATTTCTAAAAGTTACAAACTCCAGCCTTATTTCCTATGCCTCAAAACTAAGCGAAGCCCACCACAGTCCTTCCAGTCTCCTAACGGTGGCGCTGAAGCACAGGTAAGGTCACTTCTTGCAAAAAAAAAAAAACCAAAAAAAACCCCCCAAAAACAAAAAACACAAGCTAAGGGATACAGGTACAAACAAACAAGTGCACTTTGGAGAATAAATACCCAATATCCTTGTCATCACTAAAATTGGCCCATTTAGATCCTTTTGAGTAGCACTGGAATAAAACAAGTTTTACCTTTACATCTTCAGTACTTAAGTATTGTATGCTAGCAAGATGATTAACATGTATATAAAGCAAGCTTTTTATAACCCTGATTTTTTACAGTACATTGGAACTAAGTCCTCTGCACCTTGTAGACTAGAACATCAACAGTACCACTTCATGCCATGCTTCTCTCACTGGGGAAGTAACTGTCGTGTCCTAGAAATGTACAATTACAAGTACAGGAACTTTCAAAAAAATAAATTTTTCATGCCCATATTCCATGCTGGTGAGATCTAACATAGCATAATGAGGTTAAAAAAACACATCAATGAGCTTTAACACTAATGTTGCTGTCCTATCAGTAAGACTTCATGAACAATCCTAGCAATGTACAGAAACAGTTGACTTGCTCTAATATTTCTGCTGGTTATTTGGATCTTTTAAGGGAACAGCAGTGCTTCAGTTAGACAACACAGTCATCCAGGTATCACAGATACCTCTAACACTGAGTTCTGTAAGCACCTTCTTTCCTGAATTTGTTTTCAGTGAATAAGAAATTTAAAAATCCCTACAGTTTACATAATTATCTGCAAGCGGATGTTTAATTTGAAATACAAAATGACATCTGACAGCACAAAACCAGAACAGTAACAGAGCAGAATCTGTCAAAAAAGCTACTGTGTTCCTCTTCCAAGTTCCACCCCCATGCTTTCAATTTCATTCCCAAGATTTCTTTTTGATACTAACAAATAAAAATCCACCTTATTTTGTCAATTTTGCAACCATAAGCATCCTGAGAGGTAGTGTATCTTCTACCCAGGTGTTCGGAGAGTTCATCATCTTCTCCCAAAGGGCAGTTTCATCTGAAGTAGAATCCATCCAATCTACTGTAGTTCCATAGCTTTTGCCTAGAAAAATGTCAGTTTTAAGAGAAATGTAACCTTAGGTACTCTAAAATTCAAATTAAGATTTACTATTCTAATTTGTAATTTAGGTTATTCTGATGAATCATGCAAGAAATTAATTTGTGAAAAGTAGTTTGTATATTGCATTTCTTGAGAAGACTCCAAACACATCCTCCCCTCAGATCAGAGAGCAGAATAAAAGGGACAAATAGATGAATTGTATGCTTTTCCTGTTGCTG